AAAGCTGCAAAGACACATTAAGTAGAATGCAAGTAGATCATGTGAAAGAACAAAGAAAGAAAGAGAGAGAAAGGGAAAGGAAATAGAAACAGGAAATTTCCTCAATATGAACTGGACTGTTTTTGTTTATTTTTTCTATTTCTGTAGTGTGCCTGTTTGTGTACGGCACTGAATAAACATAGATAAGTAGGAAGAAGAAGAAGAAAGAGAGAGAGAGGATTTGGACTGTGAAAAAGCAAAGCAGAAGAGAGAGAGAGTTGCGTGCTTGTTGGTGTTGCTGTGGAAAAGTTTTAAAGGAGAGTGTCGCGCGTGCGGGTAAAAATTTTAGTTCTTGGGGTTGGGGTGCCAGGCTGTGGCAGGGTTGATTGTTGGGTTCACTTTTTTTACCAGTTTGCTGTCTGTCTAAGATACTCTTTGTCTTTTAGTCTTTTTACCAGTTTGATGACGTCGTCTAAGGTCAGTTTTTTAATTGGGGGACGACTTTATATTCCCTTCCTTGGGGTTAATTCTCAACCTGTAGCCAATCAGAAATCAATGAAGTGCGTAATGTCAGGTCATTTTCACCCCCCACCTCCTTCTTCCCCTTTGTTGGAGTCATTGCTACCAGTTTTTACCACCTGAATCAGGCAAAAATAAAGAAAAAAAGCAAAACCCGTCAGCTTTGTGCTCTGACGAGGATGGAACTTGAAATATTGCCAGTCCCTGTTTTTCCCCCCTCATTTTTGTGGCCAAGGACAGTCTACACAAAGAGAAAAAGAAGGTTGTACGGAAGGATATGGATTCAAATTGAACCATATTCTAAGAAGCCCAAATTACTTTGCGAAGCTCACTCCGCCGACACTCCAATCAAAGTTTGGATACATTGCTGGTGAAGGCCCTATTTGTTGACTACAACAAATCAAAACATTCAGAACTAACCAAAAGCTTGGGCCTCGACAGAGCCTTAAGATGTAAATAATTGGCAAATTTGGGCAAAAGAATTAGGCCCAATTCTGTGGATCTTTCACTTACATGAGTCAAACGCTAATGTGTGTGTGTATATATATATATATATATATTTTAGTGATTGAAATTCAATTTCAAAAATAGTCTTTGAACCAGGCAAAATTGAATTAAGGTTACGTTCGTTCTAAAAAGTGAAAGTGAACATTATTGATGTGTTTTCGACCTCTACGCGGTGATAGCTTAGGAAAGTTTGGCTGGCTTCGCGTGTTTCCTCCCTACTTAATTTTCTATAAACATTACATGTCATGCCTAAGCTGGAGTTGTCTTTAAGCCTTCGGCGGTTTGTCCGAATTTAGACGCTATTTTTTCTCAGAGTTCACACCCTCTTTGCACAGACGATATTCATGTGAGTAGCAGCATGACCATGACAAAGCAGGAGTATGAAAGGAGGAGGAGGAAACACATTCTTTCATTGATATTTGATATTATAATATATTATATTATATTATATTCTTTTACCACCACCCAATTCCAAATACACAGTTGATGCTCTTTATCCACCATTAACATATTTTTAAGAAACTAATAATATAAAATTGGAGTTCCCACATCCCACCATCATATTTCTAAAGCTTACGATGAAGCTGGAAAAACTTTAGCTACCCAAATACGAACAGGGTGCCACTTGCCAGTAGCACCTGCTCAGGTATCTGTAGAAGGGATTCTACAAGTATGGCAGAACAAATGAGAAAATACACACCCCCACAATTTAGAAAGCGCCGGCAGAGACGGCTAGCCAACTTTGTTTACAAGTATTGTTCATGTATCCTGGCTCGGTTCTCTTCCCACCACAGTCTAGCATGCATCTCTCCAAATCTTTCCCGGCTGCACCATACAGGCATATAAAGTGAGGAATTCAGTCAAACTCACACAAAGTGATAGAAATCAAAGACGATTACATTCCCTCGGTGACAAAGGGTAATGCTGGATTTGCCCCAGCGTGAGAGTCAATTAGTTGGTAAAAGCATAATAAGTAACTCAGTAATGATGCTGTCAAAAAAGATTTACAGCTAATAAATCTGGTCGGTAATTCAAATCATAATTGTTTCTAAGGTGGACCTCCATAATAGCATTGACTTATGCCGGGCCCATCAACCTAAAACTGAAATCAAATCCACGGAAAAAATGGCTTTTTGGAGCATTTCCAATGAACCTTCAATGCTTATGTGTTTGAACTTTTAACCGACTGCCTTCTCTTTTGAGGAAAAAAAAGAGAAAAGATAATGCAGTCCGCTTATGCCTCAATCATATTTTCAGCAATTGAACTTATCAAAACAAATGAATATTTCTAATATAATTCAATCAAACAGAAAGACTTTGCTAATGATGACAATGCATAAAATAAATGACTAGAATTGGCCTTGATAGAAGCTGATTTACTGCCTGATAATTTGCTATGTAACAATCTCTACTGCAGAGTTAATGAATCTAGGAAGTATTCTAGCCACTGACAAGG